TGGTGCGTATCTTATATCATAACTATGAAATAACAATTTTGCTCTCTATCTGAGCTAATAAAGTAAATGCCACTGTGCGGTAAATCGGCTACCTCCGTTAAAAAACAAATTAATTTTGTATTGATATCACATAAAAAAAACACTTATGACTACTGCATAACCGGGACATTTATGTCTACCGGCCAAGCCAGCTTGCTAACACCGGGACTGTCCTGCCTAAACCGGAACGTATTGTAAGTCTATTCAGGACTCAGACTAGAGGTAAGATCGAGCCCAAAAATTTCAGCCCGGCCCGACCCAGGCCCGTGAATTATAAACCCGACTAATTGACTGGATTTGCAGGCTCGAACCCGAAGCAAACCCGAAATTTCAATGTTTAATTAAATAGCAATTACAGCTTCTTCTATGTTTCATCCAAATTATTTATTTTATAACAAGTATTCCTCATTTTAGTATACACACTTAGTTTTAGTATATATTTTATATGAACATATATTTATTTAAAAAGAAGTCAGCGATAGAGAAGCCAGACCTGACCCGAAAGTAATGATTGACATTTCAGGCCCGAATTTCGGGTCGGGCTCGGGTTTCATATCTTAGCTCTAACTCAGGCCCATGCCATAACCCCACCTGCTTACATTGTTAAGAATATATTCTCTAACTGAAAAGGAAAGTAGTTTCCAATTTGGTATCAGTTTGGTTGTGGCAGCATCAGGCGGGTCAGATTGAATTACCCAACGGGCCGGATTTGACCATTTCAGGTTTAGGCTAATCACGATTTCCGTCTTCCATGTTGAATCTTGGATAGAAGGTAAATTGCACACAAAGGAATGGGTTGTTAATTTCGTAATACTACTGCCTCGGAGCAAATCAGAGGTGCACGGAGTCCGTATTTTCGTAAGTCAACCCTTGCTGCTTGATTGGCATGCACACTGACTGAACCCGTTGATGTAAAAACTACACGCTCATTATATATTTATTAATTTTTTTTTTGTCCTATTTTCCTTTGCCTTCACTCTTTCTAAGCAAAATTGTTATATACGTATATTATCAAACTATTTTGGTGCCTCGTTTTCATATATTTCGAAAATAATTATAGTTATTAATTAGAAGCATCTTTATTACATAAAATTTATTCGCTGATCTGAATCAACTTTGTAGGTGTCGCAGTAGGTGTAGGTGTTCTCAGTAAGTGTCTTGCAAAAATATGATTTATACACAGCGTGATCAGACCAAGTGTAGACAAATGTTTATCAAAATATCTACAATATAAATGTAGAAGAGGAAAAAATTTATTTTACAGAAAATAGCAGTATAAAGATAAATGATAGAATTCATCATTATTTTTTGGGACAAAATTTCAGAAGAAACCATACGTGCCTCGTGCAGTCAAGCTCCAATCAGAACGAGGCGTATAGTGAAGGCAAAGGGAGGATATTCGAAAAATGACAATGAATTATATTATTGGACACGTAGTGGACATAACGATCGTTTCAAAATTTTGTTGTTATTGTTATTATTTGGCTCCGTCAACCAGTTTTGAAGAAATCGCTTTTCTCTTCGAATACTGGACCAATTGCTTTAAAATTTTCAGTTGTTAACGATAAAAATTTTCTTCAGAAGGCTATTACTTTTTTTTTCGCTATGACGTCATCAAAATTATGTGACTCCACGTGTCCAAATATTTGAGCATATCTCTTTTGTTTATCTTTATATTGCTATTTTCTGCAAAATGATATCATTCTCTCTTACATTTATATTGTAGATATTTTAATTAACATTTGTCTACACTTGGTCTGATTACCTTGTATATCGAATGCAATGAGTATGTATCCAAGTAATCTCCAAAATTCTCTTGCTTCAAGGGATTCCGTTGAAGTGGGAAATTCTCCGTCCATTTGTCGGGCTCTTTGATATAACCTCTAATAATCTATCTCTAGTAAGCGGTGTTAGTTGAATAATTCATACGGTTCTCACGGTCGCTATCAGTAGTATCAAAACTCTAGAATTCTAACTTTTAAAATTAGATATTAGAACCTTGGGTGTCGCTGCTCGATAACCAGTTTTGGTTTCCCGCGACTAGGGCGGGGCATTATCGAATACCTGATGATTTCAGAATCGAATCGAACAATTTTATCGAATCGAATCTCGAATACTTGGAAGGTATGAAACTGTATTTAACTTTCTTATTATTTTAGGTCCTCCAGACACATAAATTACTGAAAACATAGAATACATCACTGACAATAAAAAACACGTTTTCATCAATACCTCAATACAGAAAAGAGTCATATGTCAGAATTGTGTTGAAAAAATATGGCTTCAATGAAAAAAAATTGAGAAATTTATTTCGACCATTGGCGGAAAGAGTAAAACGAGATGGCGGCAATTCGAAAATTTGCTCTTAACCGATTCGAATAATTTACTATTTGATTCGAATATTCGATTCGAAATGCCCAGCCCTACCCACGACTTCCCTTCCCCAGTAAAACTGTGTAAATTATCTTTTTCTCTTAATTTGTGCTCGAGTGATATTTTTTACCGGTTGGAAAAAATAAACTGACTTGACTCGCGAATTACACCATTTGGATATAAGCGTTAGCGCTAATACCCACTTTTTTATGATTGACACCCCACTGCCCTTCGCAAGATACGATATGCATTACAAAACATATGGAATTGTATTCAATAGAAAATCATTTCAAACATACGATCCTACAATTCAACAATAGTAATCAACGGAAACGGGATTTTGATTGTGTTTTCTATTTACCTTACCACGTTTTATTCTCTTGGCGGGGCTCCCGAAGTATGCGAACCAAGATGGGTTCAATGCGACCAATATGTGTGCTACTACTAGGTTAGGGTTAGGCCATAATTTTAAGTATAAATACTACGGGAGGCTCTGGGCTAGTCTTCGAACTGATAATAGGACCAAAATAAGGAACATTGGAAAAAAGTTATCGCCTAACCTGCTACTTATGTTACGTTCCGATGTCCGCCATCTTGGTTCGCATACTTCGGGAGCACCCTCTTGGCGGTGGCGAGCGTACTCCGCTTAGCACGTTGCGTCACGTCTTTCCTTTGTTTTTAATGAAACATGTCAGTTTGACTTTAAAAACACCTAAGTCTAATATTCAGGAATAGAATTCTCATGGGATACGACCCATGGGATTGGATGGGGCAGCACACATTTGTATTCTTCATGGGACACGTGGGACACGAAATACAGTATGATTTTCGGGGAAATGATGGTAAGTAAAACATTTCGTTGTGTCCATACATTTGAGCATAGCTGTCTTGTTAGTTATAAAGAGCAAAATGATTCAGAATTAACAATATACTTTGTGAGGATGCGGACGGACAAATGTATAATAGGTATTGATTTAAAGTTAAACAAAGTCAGTGAATTTTGATGTTTAGCATGTCTCTTCGTACATGTAATCCTATTTAGTAGACGCCAAATCTAAATTTAACAATTCTTATTGAATTGTATTCCAATGGGAATCCCATGGGATGGGATAGGACAGGCATAAATTGCTATGGGATATGTGATGGGACAGAAAAATATGTCCCGTGGACAAGCCTGCTAATATTAAAATATATAAATATTTGTTTTTTAATCTCCTGACGCGTTAGCGCTTATACCCAATTCTTCGTTATGATTGACCTCTCATAGACCCTAGCAGGGTACAATAAAACAGTGCATCGCAAACCATATGAAATTTTATTCAACAGCAATCATTTCAAATATTCACTATTCAATTCAACAATAGTAATCAAACGGAAACGAGATCATAATTGTGTTCTTCTATTACCCTATTACATTTTACTCCCTTGCAGTGGTAAGAGTATTTCTAACGCTTAGCACAATGCGCCACACCGCTGAGGATATGAGGGAGCATAATTGTTTCTTCGCTTCTTATTACTTATCGATTTTAATCGGTAAGTATGTTGATAGGTATTTGTCTGTTTGTCTGTCTGTCAGTTTGTCTGTCTGTAAGATGCACGCGATATCTCACGAAAGCGAGATTGAATCTGCTCCAGATTTAGCAGTGCATTCATCATATGTCGGACCAGAAGCCTATTGATTTTGGGTGAATTATGTCGTATAATTAGCGAGTTATTGATTAATTAGTGATGGAACACAAGGTGTCACTATGGAGTAAGAGCGCTGTTTTGAGGGATCCCCTAACTTTCGATCGATAAGTCTTCGGTCTCTGACTGATATTCTCGTTTTTAATATTTAAACATGTAAGTTTGACTTTAACTGGCACCAGTTCAATATTAAAACATACAGAAATTGTTTTTTTCATCTCCAGACCAGGGGCGTTGTCAGAAATGTTTAAAGGGGAGGGTTCAGAAATTCTATTTGCCAAGTTAGATTGATAGAGCTAGCGGGTCCGGCCGAACGTCAGAAAACGTGTGTTTGAGGGTCTAAAACAGGATGGTCCAAACCCAGGCCCGCTGCCTTTCGTGTTGTTTCGTCATAAAATTAACCAAAAGATCTTTCGACATATTGTTGCATCACTAATGTCACTTAATTGACTAGTGTTATGGGTTGCTGAGGCAACTAGCGAAGTTCTTGGCACTATTGTGGCCCGCGAACAATGCAAAAGTAATTTTGTGGCACGCGGAGCTGCCACCCCCCCGGTCTAAAAGCTACGAAAAATTGCTATGCACGATACAGAAAGATGCCAAAAGAAGGGAGGGGAGAGGGTCGACCCCAAAACCATCCCCTGGCTACGCCTCTGCTCCTGACTATAAACGCGTTAGCGCTCATACCCCATTTTTATTCATGATTGACGTCTTACAGGGTACGATGTAAAGTGAATGGATTACAAAACATATGGAATTACATTCAACAACAATCATTTCAAATATTCACTATTCAATTGAGCAAGAGAGAACGGAAACGTATATGAAATCATAATTGTGTTATTTTATTGTTCTATCACTTTACTCTCCTTACAATAGAAGAATACCTTTATAATTTTCCTGTTGAAAATCCATAAAACGCGAAAGCATGAGATACTTGGCATCAGAATAAGCATCGAGAAATAGAAGACAGTTTCAAAGGTAAGTGTTAAGAAGGGCCACACTAAAGGGCTTTGGGTGCCGGGTTGTGGCCTTGTGGTTGCACATCCCTGCGCCAGGCCATCGCATCGCACCTAAGTTAAAATAGTACTCAACGTGTTTACGTGCTTCAAAATTTGCTCAGAAACTTCAACTTTGAGATTATTTAAAAGGCTTTCATAATTGACTTATCTTGAAACTGTGAATTTTTTGACCAGTTCAATAATTGATATGGAGGGGAGTCTGAGGGTATTAATAATTATGTAATATTGTAATATTCCGGACATCGATATACCCCCATCTCTACGTGGTTTTGGTACAGAGACTAGAACAAATAATTGGTTAACCCCAAACTCGACATGGACTGGTTGGTGACCGGACGAGAAGCCGAGGTTCGCCATATGGTTAAGTCTTCTTATCGGCTTTCCTCTCCCCCGGGATAAATATGTAAAGCCTATTCACACTCGATATGGCACTAGTAACCGGACGAAAGGTCGATGTTTGCCATATGATTGAGCCGTCTGATCGGCTTTCCCCTCCCCCCGGGATAAATATGTAAATTCCCTCCTATTGTAAACCTTTACAGAATAACAACAACAAAAACAACAAGATGAAAATTGCGTTCGTACTCATCCTTTTCCTGTCTCTTGCATTAGTGGATAAAGCTCATTCTGGCTGGTTCAGTAAGATAGGTAAGAAGATATCCAACGGGTTTAAAAAAGGTGTGAAGGCAGTCAAGAAACATTTTCCCACGATAAAGAAAGTGCTCAAGTAAGTTTTGTCAAATTTTTTGTCAAATTTTTGTTATTGAAAGAATCTGTTTTCGATTTCAAAATTTTAGTTTTCAGAAATGGAAGAAGTCGCCAATAGGGTACTCCCGTAGTGTGTGTACCAGGCTAATGTTAGGCCATATTTTCATTCCAATTTTCCTTATTTTAGTTCTATTACGAGTTCGGGGACTGTCTGTGTTAGCTAAGTAAATATACTTCCCGCTTATAAGTTCAGTCCCTTTACACAAATTGCTGTAAAATAGGCGAACAAAATTAGTTGCCTGCATATTGGTACACATACTTCTGGATCGCCAACTTAATAGCGTTCATTTTTTACTCAGGGGAGCACTGCAAGGAGCTGTAGGTTCGCTCGGAGACGAAGATTTGATGGAATTGAGGAGAATTAAAGCAGAGGTAAGCTGAGTATAGTATATGAAAATGTCATCAACTAATTAATTTTTATTTTCACACGTCAATTTAGAGTGTTCCCAAGAAAATAAATTATAATTCAGTGTTCAGTCACTGTGATTTCTTTGATTCCACTACATCTGTCTTAATGCGCAGCAAGGCGCTTGAATCACATAGATATACAGTAATCTCTTTGCTATAGCATCCTTGCATTATACAAAATTAATTATGCATCTGAAAACAACTGGCTGACTGATCCCATGACCGACTTGGTCTGGTAACCTGACGAGGGGCCGTTTTTCGCCATATGATTAGGCCGTATTATCGAGAGAATACTTCATGTAACTTGGATAGCAGTAGAAAGTGAACCATCTCGAATTCTTCGCCTAACCGAATTAAGCTATACACGACAAAATTCAATGTTCCCATTTGCCCACTTAGTGTTTCCCTTTTTATTCTAGAACGAAGCGGAATACCAGCTTGTGAGATCACTATTAGCTGACGAAATCGCCTTTCAGAAAGGAGAGAATGCTGGAATGATTGAGGAAGCTCTGGATGCGATCATGGAAATGTCGGAAGGTAATTCATTTATCATCTTCTTAGCTGAACTGTGCAGAATGTCATATGAATTATATTGATATAAAAACCAACACTATTTAGGTGAAATTGATAGAAGCGAAAATTATTTTAATTTAGTTTTATTGGAACGTGACGTTTATTATAATTTTATTCAAGAGAACTTAATTAAAATGTCATTAATAGTCAAATAACCAATAGTGCTACTGCAATGTCTGAAAATAAATTGTACCGAATGTCATGTAAAACTTCTCCGGTTCTTGTAAAATATAGCAGAGTCGTACTCAGCGCTGACTAAAAAAATCAGAATGAAAAATTAAGGATCTTTTGTACAGTTCCCGCCGGTGTTGCATATATGTGAGATCTAAGAAAAATTTTACCTTTGTTTTCATTTACAGGACAATTCCAACAACTCATGGCTGATCAGAGAAACGAGAATTACGAAGTCGAGCTGTTCCAGTAACGGATGTACTTATCACCGGAACGACTACGTCGACCGAAATACACCATTTTATTGTTTTGTGAACATAGAGAATTTTCAGAAAATAAAAAATAAATCGTGGCGCCTAATACGATTGTTTAACCTCCAACTTAGATTTAATAAGTCCAAAACTTGCCGAGGGCGTTATCTGGGCGTAGTGGACTAGTTGCCGACAACAACGATATCCCAGCGTTTACCTGGCGCGGCGGTGTGGCTCAACGGGCTAAGCGACAGGAATACGCTCGCCACTGCACCTCTAATTACTCTGCGTGGGTTCGAATCCCATGTAGGGATGGTTATGTGCGAGAGGATTGCTGGACTCCTCGCCGTCGTTGGGTGGTTCACGTAACCGCTGGTCGGTTACGGCTTCCTCCACCACCAAGTCCATGCTCCCGAAAACAAACAATATAACTAATCCCATACCCGACTTGGAATGGTAACCGGACGAGAGGCCGTGGTTTGCCATATGGATAAGCCGTCTTATCGGCTTTCCTCTCCCCCGGGATAAATATGTAAATCCTATTCTCCTATCCTATTCCTCCATGTCGCAAGATAAAGGTGAATTTGACAGCATCTGATTTGCAACATCGATTTATGGACTTGCTATCGAATCACTGGATTTTCTTCATCTCAAAACCTCAACAAAATTAAATTATCTTGAGAGTGCCATGAAAACTATCTAGTGGTTTGATTGTCGCAAGTCACTTTCAGTCTTGGCGTGGGTCCAAATTAGACGCCCAATGCTCCATCTAAAATGCATTGAACTGTGAAGGCAATATTTAACAGAAAAAAAATTCCTTTACTTCTAAACTACGCTGCGGCTTCTTGCGCAGAGCCTTGTTTGGAGCCAAAAGCTATATCTACGTCGTATTTCAAATGAGGCTGGGCATTTTCGAATAGGTGATGATTTCAGAACTAAATCGAACATTTTTTTCAAATCGAATCGCGAATACTTGTATTGTATGTAATTATATTAATAGTTTTATTGTTATGGGTCGGCCCTTCAGACACATAGATTAGTGAAAATATGTAATCTATCATGAGTGTTTACACACAGTAAGAAACATCAACAACTCCCTTGGAAAAAGTGAGTCATATGGCAGAATTGCATTTTAAAATTACAAAAATAAATGAGGGAATCATCTAGACCTGTTTGCGGGGAAAAAAAGGAGATAGATACTGGTCGAAACCAATTCGAATAATTCACTATTTGATTCGAAATGTCAAGCACTAATAACAAACAGAAATGCATCAAAGTTTCTCCAATTTGGACTTTGTCTCACAAGACCTGGTCATCAGTTGGTAATGATATGATTTCGTCGTCTCATCCTTTTTCCTCTCCTCTCAAATGAATATAAAAGTCCTATCTTTCTACTGATTGACACTAGAGTCAACATAAACCCATGAAACATTACTAGAGGAAATTTAATATCAATAATTATGTTGAAATTAGGAAAAAAGATTATACAAAGGGAAAAATTGACAGAATATAATTACTGAATCGTGACTTGAAAATCCAGATAGCTGTTGTGGGCACAAACGCCACTGCACCAGTATTTATCAAGTGCGGCGAAACGACTTGGGAAAATCGGAACATATTTAAAGCAATAATACATTTTGATCAATTTCAGCCAAAAATTTATCATTGTAACCATTCAGATAATAACATGAGAGAAATTATTATTTGTGATGACATTTAAACCAGTGGTTCTCAAACTTTTTATGCAGCCCCCCCCTTTTAAGGATTTGTCAAGCTACAAATAACCAATAATAGGCGAATATATGTTTTATTCAAAAAATACGTGGACGGATACGTGGAACGTAAATAATAAAATAAATGAATCGCAAATATACAAAACGACAATATCGGTCAGAGACCGAAGGCTTATCGATGGAAAGTTAGGGGATCCCCCAAAACAGCGCTCTTACTCCATAATAACATATTGTGTCCCATCATTAATTAATTAATAACTCGCTAATTATACGACATAATTCATCCAAAATCGATAGGCTTCTGGTCCGACATATGATGAATGCACATGCAAAATCTGGAGCAGATTCAATCTCGCTTTCGTGAGATATCGCGTGCATCTAACAGACTAACAGACACATACCGATTACCGGTTAAAACCGATAAGTAATAACTGGCGGACAAGATCAAATTTAAGAAATTATTTTATTATTAATTAGCTTCATGCCCCATCAAAATGTTGTCCTTTGTGGGATGCGATCCACTGTCTGAAAACCACTGATTTAAACTGGTTATATTAAGCATCACTTGTGCTTAATAAATTTAACAATTTTTTTTACATTTGGGTGGCTTGAAAATAAAGTATGACGGTGTATATATAAAAGACTGCAGGATATATAATTATATAGCAGTCAGTGTTAAAAGTGCACCAAGATAGACCTAAAATAGACAAACGACTCAAAATTGACCCACCCCATTTTGTATCTGCCTGTGCTGGTTCAAGGTTTTCAATCCAAATATCGATTCAAAAAAAATTTAAATACCGCTTTCCGATTATTATTTTTTTTTGAACATCGCAGCTTCAAGAAGATGGTGTCGGTGTGAAACACCAAAAAAGTTATCTAGCTACAAATATTACAAGTACTAAGTAGAGCTTTCTCAAGGCATTGAGATGTAAAAAATTAACCATAGTTTTGATACTGCTCAGCCAGGGCTGTGGAGTCTACATTTGATATGTTTTCACTGGAGTAGCAGCCGTATTTCCAGACTCGAAGTTCCCATCTCGCTGAAGACTAAAGGGTACTCTCAAAATATTCGTACCAAGATGGCGCACAACCTGAACATAGTATGTGTGCCAGGTTAAGGTTATTCAGGTTGTGCGTCATCTTGGTACGAATACTTTCGGAGCGCCGGAGACTGAAGTTTTGATCATATGTATGTGCATACCAGCCAGGAGTCGTATTTTCAAACTCCCAAGCTTGAATGTTCGAATTTTGACAGAAACGGGATTTCATTCAAAGGGAAGTCAGAGTTTTCCACAGAACTCGGAAAGCATTGAGTTTACTAAGGGTTCTCACGGCATTATAAAGAAGGCTTATATGCTTAAAACTTTAAGTTATAGAAATTTGATTTTCAAAGGGTTTTGAGTTCGGATCCGGAATTATAATTTTCTACAACCCAGTGCCAAGAGTGAATTTTTTTACCCCCAAAACGGGGAGTGGGGTGATCCAATATTTATTCAATCTTGAGTCCATTGTCTCAGACCCCAGTCCAGGTGCAGTCAATACTTAACATATTAATCTTGTATAGTTCTTTAAATGTTGAAGAATGAAGTTTACGTCGATGGGATCTGTGGGAGTCCAAACTCATCTACTGCCACTCCACCCTCCTGTTGAAAAAGGTCAAAGGTTAAGGAAGTAGAACGTGGAGGTAGAAAAGATATCATTAGTCTAATAATACAGAATTCATATATCGTGAAAAGTCATACTGTACTGTAACCGTAACCTATATTTCACATGAGCTATGGTTTTGCAAATGATATTCAAAGATTTTGAGCTTAATTGACCAATTGACGACCTCTTTTAACTCACAAAGACAGACTACCACTGCTAAGAAGCCATCATTATGTAATATATATATATAAGTCACGTCTATCAATTTCCAAAGTATTCAGAAAGCACATACTGTCCCATACATATCACTTCTTTGTGTACTCCCGTAGTGTGTGTACCAGGTCAGCCCATAAGTTTATTCCAATTTTCCTTATTTGTCTGTTTTTTACTGATTTTTAACGTTTTGCTCGAATTTTGCAGGCATTGCAGTGAAAATATTAGTCATTTTTGCTAAATTGTTATCATTGGGATTGTAAAAAATAATTGCCTTCAATTTCAAATTATTAATACATGAATATGGGACTGTTATTTACTGTCTGTTTTAGCCAAGTGAATATACCCCCTGCCCATGAGTTTTAGTCCTTTTACACAACTTGATGTAAAATAGGCGAACAAAATTAGTTACCTTGATATTGCTACACACACTTCTGGGAGTGCCCTTCTTTGCAAATTAGTTTAGGTTAGTAAAATTGGAAGCCAAAAGTGTTTCCTTCACCAGAGCGATCCAGAAAACATCCACAAAACACATCAAAACACTATCCTATGTTGAGCATACTCACCGAGACAGCGGCACCAGGTTCAGTGTCAGGAACAGCAGGAGCAGAAGATGCTTCATCCAGGTATGAAGTATCCTCGTCTGCAAGGAAGTCATCTCCCAATGCATCGAATTCTGAAAACAATTGGTAATATATTTAGCCTATTAATGTGGGAGCTATTAAACCTGGCATGGGCAATCTACGGCCTGTGGGCCAGATCCGGACCATTGGGTAATTCAATCTGGCCCGCCTGATGATGCCGCAACCTAACTAAAATTAAATTTTGATGTTCTAGCTAAAAAAGGAAGAAATTTGTTGAGATAGAAATTAAATTTAGTTTTGGCACAAGGCCTATTGTTTTCCCACTTTCACTTTTGTAACACTGTAAATATTGTCCATAAAATGTAACTTTTTACATCACACTTACATGGCCCCCCAGTCTGAGTGGGCAAAATTTTTGGCCCTCGATCCAAAAGCCTTGCCCACCCCTGTATTTAACCAAGATATAAGTGCAGCAAAGAGTCATCAAAAATGAGCAAATCAGAATAACAGTGAGACCGATACCACCATTCAAACAATGTATTCAAGATAGACTTGAAATGAAGGTCACTAGCTCATAGCTGTTGACGCACCGTGCCAACTGTTGGGCGTTCGTTTGACGAAATAACTCTGATTGATTACCCTGCATATGATCATAGATTCGATTCATGAGGGGGATAATTGCGCCTAACAGAATGTCTCGTGTTTATGTTTCTTGTACCACTGGTCAGTTACGACTTCCTCTACCATTTAATCCAAAAATCTGGAACCTTGATTTGATTGAACTTTTCCATATCCGTCAGAAAAATGGACAAAAGGCATTTCACCATCATTAAGCCATCTCCCCCCTCTAGAGTAACCCCGAAAATGGCCGAGAGGCATTTCACAATCATTATTAAGCCATCTTCCCCATGGCCGAGAGGCATTTCACAATCATTAAGCCATCTCCCCCCTCTAGAGTAACCCCGAAAATGGCCGAGAGGCATTTCACCATCATTAGGCCATCTCCCCCCTCTAGAGTAATTCCGAAAATGGCCGAGAGGCATTTCACAATCATTATTAAGCCAACTCCCCCTCCAGAGTAATCCCGAAAATGGCCGAGAGGCATTGCACAATCATTATGGCCATTTCCCCTCACCAAACGGAAAAAATAAAATCATGAATACAACTAGCTGCCCAAGAGGACCTTAACTAAGAGAGAATATTAAAGTAACCCAAACACCCCGAACAACATACAAACCCCCCAAACCCACCAGCTTCAAGATCTTCCTCATCCACATCAGGCATTGCGTAATCTCTTCCTAGAGTTTCATTGATTTCATCTGCCATCTCTAGCATGTCTGTCATGTCATCTTGGAGATCCTGTGAAAAATTGAGAATTCATTTATAATGTGCTAACAACATAAGCTACACAATGTCTCTGACACACAGTTCCGACCCTTAAACCTCCCCCCTGGCTACGCCACTCAGCCATCATGCTGTGTTGTTATTTGTGGGAAATGGGATTAGAGCACAGTTATCCCAAGATGACAATCACCTGGACAAAATGTAAATGAGAACACAAGTAATTTACCATAATAGATGGAGCCAAAGCTACCAGAAACTAATGGTATCCAAGTATTTTTTCACATTTTTCATTAATCAATAATAATTTGAAAGTTCCAATTGAACTTATATATTTAAGTTCAATTTCAAAATTTGAAACCCTTGTATCATGGTCCTGAGTGACACTTCCACGAAACTGCATTTGTGATGATGTCTCATGGCCGGGGTCATAGCAAAAACTGGAGCTAGAGCTGGTACTACCTTGTTTGCCTCAAAATAGGACCTATCCTGAATTTTAAAAATGATTTCAATAAACGCCCTCTCTTTGTTGATAGCGCGGAATAAAAACGTGTTATTTAAATGTAAATGGATATCGGTTTTCATATTTTGTATATTTGAAAAGCTTGAATTCTCTACTGAATTTATTTTAAAAAAAATGAAAATAAAAGACATCCGCCAAAAATGAGCCCTAGTGTTATTTTGCAAACGAAAATTGAAAAAAGACCGTTTTATTTTAGAGGAACAAGGTAGCTTAGAGGAAAAAAATGAAGCCATGGATCTGTAACCAGTTTAAAGATACTGTAACTTTGGAGCTGGCATTATTGTTATTACAAACTAGCTTTATAGCCCTGATTTTCGAGTCAAACATTTCCCCCATTCCCTGTACCTCGATCTTATTGATGTCAACTTTCTTGTATTCTTTTTTCATTTCTTTTAATCCTGTTTTCATAGCAGATACAGTTGTTTGTGTGTCTTTCAAATTATTTACGGTAAAATTCACTTGTTCCATATTGAACGATTGTTGCATTAAATTGTCCCTTTGGCCTTCATACCTGAGAAGCATAAATAGGGGTTAATTAAGCCACTTAGTAGGATTTAATGTTATACTTCTTCATCGGTGACCAGTGTTCACTATTAGCGCACTTTTTTGCAAAAACTGTGAGACACTTTCGCAGTCCTTTAGAGACTGAAAAATCACCATTTTTTTCTTTTTTGAAGCAAATAGTTTTGAAGATGGAAATAAATTTGTGTGCGAGTAGGCTATAAAGTTGGCAAATAAATAAATAAACCCCCTTTCCTTATTTGACAGTTGGACTAAAGCTACAAAAAAGCATATTGATGGAAGTTGAGGATAAAAAATGATATGCTTTGAATGACTATGTACTTTCTTCTAAGAGAGTGAAAAAAGCTTTAAAAGGTTAGAAATAAGGAAAAGGACTCTGTCAGAAGTACAGGAGACTCATCTCTGAACAAAGTTCGGGAACTCACTCAGAAGTAAAGGAGACTCATCTCTGAGCAAAGTTACGAGCACTCACTCAGAAGTAAAGGAGACTCATCTCTGAGCAAAGTTACGAGCACTCACTCAGAAGTAAAAGAGACTCATCTCTGAGCAAAGTTACGAGCACTCACTCAGAAGTAAAGAAGACTCATCTCTGAGCAAAGTTACGAGCACTCACTCAGAAGTAAAGAAGACTCATCTCTGAGCAAAGTTACGAGCACTCACTCAGAAGTAAAGGAGACTCATCTCTGAGCAAAGTTACGAGCACTCACTCAGAAGTAAAGGAGACTCATCTCTGAGCAAAGTTACGAGCACTCACTCAGAAGTAAAGGAGACTCATCTCTGAGCAAAGTTACGAGCACTCACTCAGAAGTAAAGGAGACTCATCTCTGAGCAAAGTTACGAGCACTCACTCAGAAGTAAAGGAGACTCATTTCTGAGCAAAGTTACGAGCACTCACTCAGAAGTAAAGGAGACTCATCTCTGAGCATAGTTCGGGCACTCACTCAGAAGTAAAGGAGACTCACTCTGAACAAAGTTCGGGCATTCACTCAGAAGTAAAGGAGACTCATCTCTGAACAAAGTTCGGGCACTCACTCAGAAGTAAAGAAGACTCATCTCTGAGCAAAGTTCGGGCACTCACTCAGAAGTAAGGGAGACTCATCTCTGAACAAAGTTCGGGCACTCACTCAGAAGTAAGGGAGACTCATCTCTGAACAAAGTTCGGGCACTCACTCAGAAGTAAAGAAGACTCATCTCTGAGCAAAGTTACGAGCACTCACTCAGAAGTAAAGAAGACTCATCTCTGAGCAAAGTTACGGGCACTCACTCAGAAGTAAAGAGACACATCTCTGAGCAAAGTTACGAGCACTCACTCAGAAGTAAAGAGACACATCTCTGAGCAAAGTTACGAGCACTCACTCAGAGTCAGAAGTAAAGAAAACACATCTCTGAGCAATGTTACAAAGTATCACTGAAATGCCAATGCTACTGAAACTATAGGCCTATAGAATTAAAATGGAGGTGTAGACTAAAAAAAAGCATTTTTCTCACATTTTTTTCTGTTTTAATATCTTGAGTGCCTTTTGTTTGAGCATGTTCTTAGAAGGTCCATTTCTCATCTTTTTCATTTGGTTTTTAATTTTCACAAGTTCTGCATCAAGCTTTGCGATCTTTTTCTCCACGGATTCGCCACGACTATCGACCTGTAATAGAGAAAAGAGTGATATAGAGGCTTTGAGAAGAAAATCAGAGATTACATGAGAGGTAATACATTAAATATCCTGCTAACATAGTTTGTTAAAGAGAGACTGCTCCATTATCAATTTATACAGTTATACAACACCTTTAGATATCAGCAAACATTTAAAAAAAAACTATACAGAAAAATGACAATGAATTCACAAATAGGCCAAAATAAATAACAAAGGTGTTAACTTACATTTGAAATACAGTCAGTCAAGTTGGCAGGAGGCTGCTTTGGCTTTGATTTTCCAAATAGTCTGTCCATCTTTTATATTTAGTGAGAAATAGCAATAATTTGTATAATATAGTACTGTAGTACTGGAATTACAGAGATGCAAAATAGAAAATCATGTTTTTGCCTAATTTACAGTAATCACCGAACCTACCGAAAGACCAATGTCAAGATGTAGCCTTATTAACAAATACAGAAATAGATTTTCGAAAACTCCAAAATAAACACAAAAAGAAAATGGAGAATTCTGGAGAGCAAGAAAAAAGCCTTAAAAAAGTTCAAAACATGAGAAATAGCATGTGCCCCCTCATCAGCATTAAAAATTACAAAAAAAACACAAAACTTGTTGAACGAGGCTTGGGCAAGAAATAATTAAGTTTAATATAAACTTGTTCAAACAGTTTTACCGCAATTCCCAGTCTGACTGTCTGATGACATGAGTGAATGCTTTGCCATGGTTAAGTCCTCAACCAAGAGAAAATCAACTTCTTACTTAAACCCTGTACCGGTACCGGTAATCAATTCGCAAGCTACGAAGCCGCTGGGGCAGTAGGGCCGATCTCTGAATATTTTTGGTACTAATAACGTAAAAGCCATACCGGTACAGTAGACATGAACAAAAGGCCTTTGTTTGTCATGTGATCTACCTGTCTTTTTGACTTTCCTTTCAAGTAAACGGTACCGGTACGCATCTGAAAACAAAAAATAACTGGCTACCTTATCCCATACCCGGACGAAAGACCGTGGTTCGCCATATGATTTTTTTTTTTTTTTTTTTTTTTTTTTAAAGGTCCACGTTGTGGATTCATAACAGTTTTGTAAAAATAAATAAATGATGAAAAAATAATAATCATAGAACATAGTTACATATAATAAACAGATATATTTGTAAACATCATCCAGTATTATCCAGCAATTCATATTATTCCATTGTTGATTCCAGAAAAAGTTTCCCATGTTCATCAGTAAATATACATTAATTTATATGTTTTTAATTTATAGCAGAAAAATAAAAATTTATACAATTAGTCATAGATTCTTACAAATTATGTCTAGTTCTTTTATAAAACTAGGATTATGTCTAAGTTGTTCTATATTTCTCCTTGCTAAAAGGGATTTTCTAATTCTTGTTATGACACTATTTACACTTGGATTAACATTTTCAAAAATAACTGCATTACGTTCTAACCATATTTTATATCTTGCAGTACACAGAAGAAGTATGACTGCATTACGTTCAACTAATGATAAATGTGAAAAACACTGTTTATTTAGTTCTATTAAAATACATGTTTTATAAATATTTTTTAACTCGCAATTGTTTATTTTTAATACAACTGAAAAAACATAATCATATACATTTTGTGTAAATGCACAGTTCCAAAATAAATGAGATATAAACTCGGGTTCTTGAGAACAAAGTACACATAAATCATTTCCAGTAATATGTCTAATCCTTGGTTTAACTTTTAGTGAAAGAATGTCCCACATAAGTTTATAATTGAAAGTTTTCATATTATTAGCCAATATTTTACAATGTATGTTTGAACAAGCTCCTTCCAAACTACCATCTCTAAGAAACACTATTTTGTCACCACTCTTCAAATTATTAACTATTTTATTATAAATTATTCGATGTTTCCCTTGTTCTAAATCAGTTCCAGCAATGTTATATTGCCGAAGGAAAGTAATAATGGCTCCATAATATCTATTGGGGAAAAAGGTATGTGATACACTATTATTTACAGGTATTTTAAAAATAACACTCAGTTGTTGCCCTATGTTATATTCAATGAAATTATATACGGATTGTCTACAGTGTTCAATATTAGCATTAATTCTATCACAGTAATATTCATAAGAAGTCATGACATAAAGGCACATTGTAAAAAGAGGAATATTAATTATATCATATCCTCCTAATATTTTGTTTTTACATAATGTATCAATTCTTAAGGTATTTCTACCATTAAATACAAACTTTTCAATAATATCATTAATTTGTTTTCCTATATACATCGGGATAGGGAATATTCTTGCACAGTATAAGAAAACAGGTAAAATTTTAAGTTTGATCAATAGACATTTTCCATCGAGTGATAAAGGAATGTCCTTCAGTTCACTTATTACAGTCCTAACATTATCCATACAGTCTTCCCAGTTGTTATTGCTTGTATCAGAGTTTGAAAACACTACTCCGAGTACATTCAAACTTTGTACAATATGGAGATTTGAAAAAAAATTTGGATTAGTCCATTTTCCTATTTTTAAAAGTTTTGTTTTTCCAATATTCAACTTCATGCCAGTTGCTAGCTCAAATTGTTTATTAAATCCAGAGTATAATAAATTGAAGTTTTGTTTCTTACAGTTAGGGTGATATCATCAGCGTAACTTAGATGCTTTATTTCTTGATTGTGTGGGATCATAATTCCATTGATACTTTTATGGGCATTTATCGCAATGAGCAAGGGTTCAATTGCTATTATGAACGTATATAAGCTTAGTGGATCACCTTGGCGAACTCCTCTTTCTAATGTAACTGCTTGACTTAAATATCCATTCATCAACACCCTAGTTTCTGATTCGGTATACAAAGTTCGAAGTACATTTATAAATTTTTCTTTGAATCCAAATTTATGTAGTACACAAAATAGATATTCCAGGTCCACGCTGTCAAAGGCTTTGTTTAAATCCAATGAAAGCAGAGAAGATTCTCCAAATTTGTTCTCCTCCTGTATACATATATCTCTCAATAAGATGAGTGTATCTGATATTCTCCTTCCTGGAACAGCGGTTTGATGTTTATCTATTATTTCAGGTAGTAGTCGTTTTAGTCTATTCGCTAGTAATTTTGTAAGTATCTTATAGTCGGTGTTCAGCAATGATATAGGTCTGTAATTTTTTATTTGATCCATCTCACCTTTCTTATGAATTAGTGTTGTAAATCCATTTTTCATATCTTTTGTAATGAGGCCTTTTTCATACACTTCTTCTAAAACTTCAAAAAAATCATTTCCAATTATATTCCAACATTTTATATAAAATTCGACACTTATGCCGTCTGGTCCCGGAGTTTTGTCTTTTTTGAAAGATTTGATTGTTTCTTGAACTTCCGCAAAGATAATCGGTCTCTGTAATGTTTCTGCATCATCCTCTTTTAGTTTTAATGAATCTGGAATACCTTCCACAAAATCAATCTGAGTTTTCATGTTGTTATTTTGTTTTTTGTATAGTTTCTGGTAGAATTCTTTAACTATTGCCATCTTTTCCACCAATTTTTCTTGTACCACATCTTCTGTGTTTCTTAATTTTTTAATGTAACATTCTTTGTTTTTTTCTCAATTTTTTAAAGAATGCCTTGTTACATTTTTCATACGTGTCATAGAAATGGGCCAAATTTTGAAATCTAATTTTACTATTCTTCTGCTTTTGTTTTTTTAGTACTTCTCTTTTTGTTTTATTGAATAAAGTTAGAACTTTTTCTCCTCTGTCTAATCTTTCTTTTAGTTCTTCCATCTGTTTCATTTCTTTGCGATATTGTGCTTTTTCATCTTTTGCTTGTTTAACAGAATGTTTGATAGTTAAATCTTTTATTTTTTTCTTTATTTCGGTCCACCATTGAGTCTTTGTATTAAATAATACTTTCAATGTGCACCAATTATTCCATTTATGTTTAAGTTCTTCAATAAATATTTCACTATTATAAACTGATACATTGTTTTTCCAGAATCCGCTCCCTTTTTCTTCCAAGTTGGTGTAAACTTCAATATCAACCGAATACATATCATGATCAGAAATATAAGTTGGACAACAGTATAAATTTGTTACTGAACACAAGTTTTGTGAGCAGTAGATACGATCTAACCTTGCTTGTACGGTGTTGTTTCGCCATGTGTAAAAGGTATTGTTATTTGGAAAATATTCCACAGAATCTATCAAATTAAAGGTTGTCTATAAGTTCATTTAACGCTCAGAAATGTATTCCTTTTTAGCTCGTTTGGTGCTTTCCGATCTATCACGGTCACGGTCAACATCATGAACACAGTTCATGTCACCTCCCAAAATAACAGGATACTGTGAATGTTATGAATCTGTAGCTGTTGTTATAAAAGTTTTCTTGTGTTATAATGCTTGTTCTGCAGGGGGCATAAATATTAACAAAATGAATTATTTCTCCGTGGATGTTTATATTAGCAGTCACTACTCTTCCATTATTGTCAAAAGAAATATTACTAAATGAAAAATTGTTCAGTTTTGATTTAAGTAATATAGCGACACCCCTAGAGTTTGAGTTCCCGCTATTCCATAAACTTTTACCCCATTTCCACTCCCGGCGCCATTTTAATTCAACGTCTGGTGTGCAGTGCGTTTCTTGTAAAAATATCACATCTGCTTTTTGCTTGGTTAATTCATGAAAAACATCTTTTCGTTTTTGGTTGTCTCTTATTCCATTTACATTAATTGTTAATATTGTTAAATACAGCACCATTATAAGAGTTTTTTTATTTCTTATTTGTTTTTTGATTTAGTAATATGAGAAGAATTACAAGTATTATTCGCTCATACTCTGAAGATATTCATTTGCCTCTTTTATGGTCATAGTTCTTTGTTTTCTCCCCGTTTTTTTCTTTCTTGGTGGTGATCTTTCATTTGAATCAGTGTTAGTAGATATTTTTTGTGTTAGATTTTCTTGCTGTTGTTTGTCTCGTCCCAATACATATAATATAGTTTTCTCTGATGAATTAGATTTGCTTGTCGAATTCTCAGAGTGCATCTGTTCTTCATTCCCTTTTCCATTAATTTCATTATCTTCACTGATGTCTGAGATGTTGCCAAACATTTCAGGTTGTAAACTTGATACAGTTGTACATTCTTCTGCATTTGCTGGTGTGCTTTGTTTTGGGTTTCCTTTTGTTTGACTCTCTTCATTGATACTATTACTAGCATCTTTTACTGGTTCTATCAATAGTTTCCTTTTTCTTGTCTGGGTGTAGTTTCTTTTTCTTGTCTGGGTGCTAATATGGTTTCGTCATCTCTTACATTTTCTGGACTTGTAAATTTTTGTCCTGTATCTTTGTATTTTACAAATTTTGGAATGAATTCCTCACATGCATTCTTCAAATGACC